AGCCCCACTCCTGGAAGGCCCAGCTCAAGCTCCACCTCCTCCAGAAAGTTCCCAAGCCCTGCTCAGGACTCATAGTGCCCTCCCAGAACCATTTACTACTCCATGTTTTACACTGAGACTGAAGCCCAGCTTCCTTCTGCCACTCTCTGGTCTTCCCATGTTCTCTATTCTCCCTCCCAAGCAGCCTTCTCAGTCTTGCTGACATGTCTATGGGCAGTGGAAGAATACCCCACAGTCACCTGGTGTTCCCACAACAATGGTGACATCAAGAGAATGCCAAGGACTCCCCAGAATTCAATAGGTAGTCATGAGAAGGAACTATTGGGTTCACCAGCAGTAGCCCTTACCTACCTACAAACTACATCATCTGCAATTCACTGGAAGCCATACTGCCCTTCACAGGAGACTTCAAAAAACCCAAGGGATGACCTTTGTCACCTCCTCATTACAAACACAGGGATCTCTCTCTGTTTCATTAGAATATATTCATTAGTTTATGTACAGGAAGTTGAAGACTCTCTTCAAAACATATCCCAGGAAATGGCTCATCCAACTCATGAAACCTCTTGTCAATAACATAAGAAATAAAGTTTTCTAGGTAATTAAGTAAGGATGGTAGGAAGGAAAATTCAGTCCCCTGAGGCCAACAAGCACATTGTGGAGGATCCACAAAGCTGTTAGTATGGTGGGAGGTACTCAGTGTCTTGTCAGAACAAAGATAAGTCCTGTAGTTGATGAAAATTACTCTTGAACTTCAGCAAAATTCATTCCATCCATCATAAGATACCAATAGTGTGGTAAACTAATGACATTTCATTGTGGAGATACTAAGAACCAGAATTCCCTGTGGGAACACTCAACACAAGAGCAAAGGATGTGCCATTCCTACATTTGAGTTTAAAGAAAGATGAACGGCTAGTGAGAGGCCCCACAGATATGCAAAGGCATTTTCAGAAAATGAGTGATGTGAGGCAAACTATGTCTTTTCAGATGTTATTTCACATGGAGAAATCATGCTAGACAATGTGAGCTATCTCAGTAATACCCAATTCTAGAAGTCAAAGCACAGCACCTGCCCTACACACTTCCTCTTATCAGTTAATCCTTACGCACTGAAGAATGCACAGAAAGTGACTGACAGAAGAAACTTTTCCGAGACAGGTTCTGAAAACTCAGACTTGAGTCTCCTCTGTGGGTATCAGTTTCCCATCTCTCTATCGGGAGGTGGCTGGATCAGAAATCAGCTGGTTTCCTCTGTCTCCCTGCACAAGAGGACCCAGTGGACAACCTCTTAAGTCTTACAGCGGTACAGGATGCTCTTTCGCTGCAGAGCCCTCAGCCATGTACTTTCAGAAGCCTGGAGGTAATTGCTACTGTTATAATCACTTTGGTAGTATAGGGATGCCCAAGTCCCTTGCTCTGTGCTTCAGAGTTCATGTTAATGGAAAAGCCATGCAGGGGCAAAACATAGTCAACAGATTCACAAAGTCATCCTCACTAACAGTCCAGGACACCCAGGGCTGGCAGGAAAAGGACAGTCTCAGTCCAGGTCCACTGAATCTAACAGCTCTTAGGCTGAACTGGAGACCTGTGTGCCATCAACAGCTGGAAATTCAGAAACCTCAGAGGTCATTGGAAGACAGAAGCACTTGGGGGATCCTGCCATACAAGTGATTGTGATGTCAAGTAAGAGAACCTCAGGGTTTTCCAGGGTACTCTCCTTTCCCTATTATCACTGGCACATAACTAAAGGACTCCCGTGGCTGGGAAACACAGTCATGGTACAGAAATCTCATTAATTCCTCTG